ATATCTACTAATCTACAGGTCAAGTTAAATTAGAAACACCAAAGGATAGGTATAATCACCCTTCACGGAGCTGCTTTGTCCAGTCAAAGGGCTCCCACTCGTTTAAGAAACTTGCAACTGCTTGTTTTTGTACATCCACCGCCTCATAACGGCGGCGCCGATACATGTCTTCCTCAGCCAGATCTAGCATTCCTCTGATGACATTAAGGCCAAGGTTGCTGTTAAACTGCTTCTCATCATCAATAACATGCACAAAACCCTTGTTCAGTCCGAACTCCACGTGGAAGTAAGGGAAATGCTTCGGAATAGAGCTCCGCAATCCCTTTGACTTGTATCAATGAGCTTCTTGGCGTTGTGCTGGCTCCACTCATCTTCAGCTTCATCAATTGCCTATGGTGACATCAGTTTAAGGAGGAGCAATGAGATGAGATTTTTGAAAATAATGATAGATCAAAATAAATATGAATCAAATAATATAGGAAGGATAATGAATGATAAGTGCATACATATAGAGAGAGAGAGTGTGCGTGTGTAAGAGCAAATACCATTAAGATCAAAGATACCCTACAATGGAATATCACTTTTTGCACTCTCAATGTAAATGGCCAGGAAAGTGGAGTATACTCATCAATAATAGAGTCACCATTGGTGTCAATATATGGTACTAGACAAAGAATATGCTATTTGAAATCTAACCTTTTTAAAGTACAAGGGGCCTCTTTGGCAATATCTTGGGGTAAAGGAATGCATTCAATCATACAATGACGGCGCTGTTGCGCCAATCCCATCACAGTTTCAAGAAAAACCACCTCCTTCTCTTGCTTTGCAAACATCATTATGAGGCATTTCTTGAAGTTCCGAAGTTCAGTCCACACATTGTCATCCACAGTTCTTGTAGCTGCTGCTTCATGCTGTCAATTCACAGGTACTAGATGAATACACGATTTGAGTTGAAAAGTAAATAATAGCGCTAATAGTAGTCACAATACTGCCTTATTGCACAGATCCACAAGCTCAAAACTCAGTTCACCATATTTCAATTAATGTCACATTTATGATGGCCAAACAAGAAAACTAAACATCAGATTCGTACTCTCTCCAATCCAAAAATAAGCAGTTTTCGAAACAAAATTCGCATACCAATAAAGCCCCCATTTTCATAAAAATATATATTGTTTTTTCTTTTTTCCCAAGTCCCAATTACCAATGCACTTTATAATAAGTAAGAAATACATTTACACAAATATCTAGGTTGATAAATACAAGGGGTAAAATGGATTTTTTTTTTTTTTTACATGTATTAAGTTGCTTATATTTTGAACCAAGATTAGCTGAAGGAAAATACTTATATTTTGGACCGGATGAAGTACAATTTAATGCAGCTTTCAATTCTCCAAAGACAAGCGATGGTAATACATAAAATCTTGACAGTCGTAACTAAGACTTTCCTCCTTTGCCACTGTCTCCACAAAGATGGTTCAAATCTTTAGGATGACCATTTTGCTTAAGATGCTGTTTTTCATAGTTGAAGAATTTCTTTCTCACACATAAAACATTATGACCTGGTTGTTATTAAGTAAACTGAAACAGAAGTCATTATTAAAGGTATTAAGATTGAGACAATCACTGCTAAAACAGAAAAAGCATTAAGACATCAGATCATATTTCAGGCGACTGTCTCTAGTAAAGGAGATCATGGTGCTTTAGGTTGGTTAAAACACCAAGAAGCATACTGACATTAGAAGTAAGCCCACCTGAATCGGTAAAATGCAACAATGGCCAGGCACCACAGGCTGCCACTTTGGCAACATCAGATATGTGAAATTTGCGATTGAAACAACAAGATGCATAGGGCGATTTGGATTCTCTAAGCAAAATAGGCAACACTCCTGCTGGGTCAAGATCCTTTTTGCATTAGTGCTCTTTTGGGCCGTCTTATGATCGTCACTGTCTCTCTTCTTTCGGCTCTTTCTGCGTTCATCATCTTCAAAGTCATACTCATCATCTGCCCGACTAGATATTTTAAATTGCTTGTTCTGCATAATTTTGCGAGCAAGATGCATATCAGCATCATCCTCTCCTTTTTTCTGCTGCAAAGATATGCTCTGCTTGGCATATCTTACAGAAAGTAGGAAGTGTCAATACAGCAAATTTAAGAACTAATGGTAATTTACAAGAAACAAACAGCTACTATGCAACCAAGAACAAGCATGCTGAGCAATTATTTATGCTGAGCAATTATTTAGTAACATGAATATAACATGAAATAGAAGAAAGAATAAAGAAATGAAAACAAAGTATTGGATTAAAAAAAATTTAGCTTATGCTTTACAACTGCTTGAGAAATTGCACCTTAACCG